CAAATGATATGCACCAACGCAGACGCATAATTCGTATCAAAGAAGACGCAGAATGATGGCCAAACCAAAAAAAAAATACTTGTCAAAAATTTATGAAAAAAAACTATAGATCTTTCCAGATAAATCTATATGTAGTTGAACAAAACTCTATACCACACCTTACTACATGAAACCAATGTAAACTTGACAAAACATCTCAAAAGCAACCATTGACCCGAAGACCTCCGTGTAAATAGGGTCAGCAACTGACGTAACCTTTTCTAAAACAACCCCTTTCTATCCAGTCCTGGGCCCTATTCAACACTCTCCTCCCATAAAACCCCCCTGAGACGCCCAGACACCCGCCCGCACGCCCCTTCTCGGGGAAGGGAGCGAGAGGACGTCCCTCTGCAACAGTCGTGGGGGCGAAAGTGCATTAAATAAAAATAGGTTCTCGCGAGAGCCATGCCCGACCTCATCCCCGAAATCGTCCTTATCTCACCTCTTTCTTGTTGTTCTGGTCGTTGTCCTTGGCCAGTTCCAGTAGGTAACTGAAGTCCATGATGACCCACCGTCGCTATAACGAAGGAGGAACCATGGAAGAGAGCGAAATGGGGTTTCCAGTGAAGAAATTCGGCAGCTTTCCCTAGAACGCTCTTCACTTCGCAACTGCTGACGAAGGACTGGGTTAGGGAGTGCGCCTTTGCAATCACGCTCTCCTCCTCTCTCTGGCAACGTTTTATTGAAGCAAACTTTAATGTATGCACCCTTGAGGCTTCTTTACTTAATCTTTATTAAACTTTGTAGTTTACTGACGTGGATGAAAGATTTTTTCTGCCTGAGTGAATAACAACTAATTTTGGGGTTACGTCCCTCGCTGAAATATATTCGAAAGAAATCTTGTTGGCCATATGGAATATTCTATACGCATGGAATTCTATCTAACTAAATATAATGGTTTATATATTGATATTGTGGTTCAATAGCTATGTGCAGGAATATATTCGAAAGATACATATCCAAAACTTGTACCTAAACAAAACAAATGTCCGAAAGCCACGGCAATTCCTTCTTTCGTTCGATTTCTCATTGAAAATCTAAGAAAAGGTATGTATTTTATACTAGAGTGTTGACTGTTGAGTGTACATATGTATTTGTAGCAGCAGAATTAAGGATTCCTGAAGAAACTAGCTAATTATGCCCCAGAATATTATTCTAATCACCCACGATTCACGTTCATCTTGTGTGGATCTGCTTAAAATCGTGTAAAGTAATGTGAATTATCATCGTTATTATCATTTTAAGGTTTTATTATTGGCGTTATTTAACCACGCATTTTCCCCGGAACCTTTCATGACCTCCCTCATGCTATCGGGGCCAAGTTCGTCGCTATAGGGGGTTTCCGCGCAATAAAAACTATATATTTGCATTGAGGACAGTGCTAGAAATCCAATGATACCAAAGTCGTCGATGTAGGAGTGGCGGACTTTAAACTCTTTGGAGTGTTTTCCAGGTTTTTCTTTTTTTTTTCAAAAACTTCTGCATAACGGATCGCAATGATTTTGGTATCATTGGATTACTCTCACTGTTTACAACGCAAATATGCAGGTTTTGTTCTAAATCCAGATACTCCAATCTCTACTACTTCAATACCTACTCTTCCGCCCCTAACTTTACGGGTTGCACCAGACACCCTAAATGTTCTACTCTATCTTCGCCTTCCATGCCCTCTCCTACACCCTCCTTTTCCACTGCTCCTTGAACATCTATCCCCTCTTCTCCTCACAAGTGATCCTTTGTTCCACAGAGCTTCCTACCCAGATCCCCCCCAGAAACTCTTGAAGATTTCTAAAAATTCCTTGACTTGATCCAAGAAATATTCCGCTCTCTCATCCACCCTCTAATCCCTCCAATGTTACTATAGCTTCCCCAACAGCAGATACACCCCATTCCATCCAGTCGCCGTATACCATTAACCCTTCCCTTTATTAATGTCCAATTTACATCATTTGCACATCTTTACCCTTTTCCTTATCATACTATTCTATAACATTATAACCTTTGACATTTAACACTCTTTATACTAATCGTTAATGCATTTACCCTTTTCACCAAAATACTTTACCATAGTGGTATATAACCTTAGATGTTGAGGACATTTATTTGTTTCAACTATTAACCATAACTATTTATTGTGTGGAAATCCCCTCAACCCCCGCATTCTAGGCTCCGATATCAGGGGAGAACATGAAAGTCCAGGGAAAAACAGGGTAAAATGTAAATAATATACACAGAAACTGTCACTACATTTTTTAATGTAGGAGGCTATACCACCTGCAACTTCCCCATGGGGGGCTGCTGCTCCCCGACCCTGCCAAGGAAAACAAAGAATCCTCCATGTATTCACAGCAGGAGAGACCAGCGGACAGACTTGATATGCTGCAGCCGCATGACAGGCTCCTGTGGGAGGGTCATAGGGGCCACAGCCTCCTGCATTAGACAAGATAGCGAAGGATTCTGTAAAATTGGTATTGGGGCCAAGATTGTGGGGGTTAGGTGGTTTCTGTATCCGTAGGAATAAGTATTTAAATTTCTTTGACCTTCCGCTCTCTCAACAGGTGTACAAGTTAACACAAAATGTCTGAAAAGGAGTTTCGTTTGGACCCAGACAGCGAACTCAGGTTTGAGGTGGAGGGCAAGCAGGATACAGTCGATCTCACAGTAAGTCTGAACGTAACCGTAAGGTTACTTTTGTGATTTTTGTCACTATCATCATCATCATCATCATTATCTTTATGATTATTAGCTTATTCCTGTGACTGTAATTATTTTTGTGAATATTATTAGTACTGTGAATTATGTATTTTATTATTTTCCTTGAAGTGATGTCCTTTCTATTTTTTATTATTTGAACTAATTTTTTGCCATCTGATTGCCATTATTTTTATGTTTATTTTTAGTGTAGATAATCATTATATATGAATAATGTGATAGATATAACAATCACAAATATTTTGTATCCTCATTTTTTTTCTTATTTTTTATATATGATATATATACTTATGTAGCTAGTGTACATGTTATTAAGACATCTCTTGCAATGCTTACAGTTTTTTTTTTATCTAAAAAAAAGTAAAGATAAGTACATTAATTATTGTAATTTATAAATCAAAAGATATAGCTGTCATCTGTAGAGTGAAAATTGTATTGTATATTTTTTTCCATTTTCCTTTATTACCTACCTGTGCACTATTTCAGGGGTATATTGCCTGTTCATGTAATGTAGATGTATGTATTTTAGAATAATTGACTTACAAAAATAAGTATTTTATTGTAGAACCACTCATATGTTAAAAAGTAGGTCATGTCATGTACTAATTCACTTGTTTTTTATGACTTTATGTTGTATGAAATGTCAGTCTCTTCAAATTTTTCCAAATAGATTAACTAGCCCTGTTGTCCATGTTCATCAATGAAGGCATGAATTTAAATTAATTATATCTTCGACAGCTGGTAAATGGCAAAGCGGAAGTGTTTGGCACAGAACTAGCACCAGACAAGCCCTACACCTTCTTCCCTGGAGCAAAGGTAGCTGTGTTCACCTGGCATGGCTGTGTTCTCAAGCTGTCTGGCCCGACAGAGGGAACGTATGTGGCAAAGGAAACCCCAATGGTAAGAAGATGGTTTACTGAATGGTGAAAAATAATTGTTTCTTGACTCTTATATTTTCATTACGGGTAATTTTTCTTACTTGTTGTAATAACAAAATCACATGCGTGGTGGAAAATCTAATTTTGTTGTCACATTTTTAAGAAGTAAACTAATTCTCACATTTGACTCTTGATTAGGTTATGTACCTCAATACACACGCATGCCTGGAGCGGTTGCGCAGGCATGCAGATGAAGGTCTTAGTCGAGGAGAAGATACCAGAGGACCAGTAACGATGGTTGTTGGTCCAGGTGATGTAGGAAAGTCAACTCTGTGCAGAATTCTCCTCAATTATGCTGTGCGGATGGGACGTCGGCCTATCTTTGTAGATTTGGATATTGGACAAGGATCCATTGCAATTCCAGGAACTATAGGTATATGATGATTATATGTTATGTACAAGTAATCAGGGTCCCAGCATGTATAAAATAATAATATATTGTGCTATATTGTATGTTCATTTTCAATTATGAGAAGTGTCATAACTGTTGGTCCATTTTCAAGGTGCACTGCTAGTTGAAAGAGCTGCTGATGTCGGGGAAGGCTTTTCTCAGGAGGCTCCTCTTGTGTACAACTTTGGCCACCTGAGTCCTGCTTCCAACATGACGCTGTACAACATCCTTGTCTCACGCATGGCTGCCACCATTCAAGATAAGATGGTTGGCAATAGAAAAGGTTAGCAGGGATATTCCTCATGCTTTTACTGGAGATTTCCTTTTTTCTTTTCTTTCCTTCAGGGCATTTTATTTAACATACAAATTTTGACAAGTGATTCTTTTTTCCCTCCAGTGGCTGCCTCAGGGGTGGTTATCAACACATGTGGCTGGATCAAGAATGAAGGATACAAGAGTTTGACACACGTTGCGCAGGCCTTTGAGGTCGACGTGATCATTGTCCTTGACCAGGAGAGACTGTATAATGAGCTTGTCAGAGATATTCCCTTCATTAGGGTTGTCTTCTTGCCCAAGAGTGGAGGTGTAAGTAGAACACTATTTTCTTTAGACTTGGTTAGTGTATAAATTCAGTATGATTTTCAGTGGTTTTCTTACAGGGAAGTGTTGTAAGTTTAAAGGTGTTGTTTACATTGAAAGAAGTTTAGGCATTCCCCAGTGAAACAGTAATATAAATATTTATGATTATTGTACCATTAAATACTGTTTAATAGATTTTGCAGTTTTTAACTTTCTCATTCTTAACATATTGATGCTGGGAATGCATGTAGACAATGTAGTTTTGATGCAAGGAGTGCCATGCCTTTAATCTATTAATTCTATGTACACATAGATGGTTCCACAAATGATCATTCTCCAAGAAGTCAGTTATCGATCCTACCAGAACTCAGCTTTTTATCCTTTTCCTTGATGAAAATGATGATAATAACAATGATGTTAATACTATTTTCTTTAATCAAATAAGGATAATTTGGCTTACTAACTGACTCCTTGGTAACTAAATATTTGTGGCGCCATCTATGTGTAAACAAAATTCACAAAAAAATACTGTGGATACTACATGCACCTGGTGCCAATGGATTAATTTTCTTTGCACATAGATAGCTCCAGAAGCACTTTGTCACCAATGAGTTAATTCCTTGGCCTGTCTGACCTCCCTTATTTGCCACACAAGTATGAGAGTATTACAAAAATACACAAGCTATATATGTTCATATATAACTGTCTAAAGTAAAAGTGTAGGCATTTTCTCTCTCTCTCTCTCTCTCTCTCTCTCTCTCTCTCTCTCTCTCTCTCTCTCTCTCTCTCTCTCTCTCTCTCTCTCTCTCTCTCTCTCATATAATATGCCCCCCCCTCAATACTGTCAAGATATATAAATAAAAGAATATCCATAAATCCCAATAAGCAAAACACAAAGTCACAAGATCTTTTATGTTTCCATTCATTCATTCCCTTACATTAACACAGGTGGTAGAGAGAACCCAGTCCATGAGGGCATCCGCTCGTGACGACCGCATCAGAGAATACTACTATGGGCTGCGCACCAAGTACCACCCACACAGTTTTGAGGTGAAGATGAGCACCCTCCAGATATACAAGATTGGTGCTCCAGCCCTCCCCGATTCCTGCATGCCAGCTGATATGAAGGTGGACGATCACATGACCAAACTCGTACCTGTAGAGCCTAGTAAGTGTTGCCTTCAGCTTTACGTATATGTGATTGCCATTTTTGAGATAATTATTATTTCTTTCTGTCTTTCTTTTCTTTTTCTTTTTTGCCACTACTTTTTTTCCCATTTATTTTTAACTTTCCTTTTCTTTTTCTTTTTCTTATGGTAAAACATGTAAAACAAACATTAGAGAAAGTTAACTCAGAAATCTTATGTAAGTAAATTGTTTTTGAAAATACTAAACAGGATAAGTTATATATCAAATTTCAAGGTACATAAAAAGGATATGTAACACCACTTCCGTTGACGAAATCATAAATGAAATAACTTTTTTCCCTTTTGTATATGATATGGAATTTTATTTTTCTTCTAGTAACTATAAGAACATTGAATTTCTTGCATATCATGGTGCATTCTCAATGGGTAAATGATTAGATCCACCTCAGAATATTTTCTTGGGAAATAGTTTAACCCAGTCACGCCGGGGTACATTTATTTTTTCCTTGTGTCTCATATATGTGACACCCGGGATGGATGGGTTAAGACTGACATTGGTAAGAAAGATAAAGAAACCTGTATAAACGATTTTGTTAATAAGAAATAGGCATGTCTTACATCAGCCTTGTCAACAGTACTGCCTGTCTTACAGATACCTTGTCAAATTCAGGGCCAAAATATCCCACGGATTGGAGAAGATCTAATTCTTCTACGCATACTTTACTTTTTTTTTCTTTTTTCTTTTAACAGGTGTTAAGTTAAAACATCACATGTTAGCCGTGAGTCTTGCAACAGAGCCCGAAGACCTCTTGACTTCAAATGTTGCGGGATTTATTTGCGTGTAAGTTTGAATTATTATTTCCGAATAACTATGCTTACCTTTTTTGTCATTATCATTCTGTGTGCGTGTGTATGGTGTGTATGTGTTTGTGTGTGTGTGTGTGTGTGTGTGTTTGAGAGTGTGTGTGTGTGTATGTGCTCTTAGGGTAATGATGTTAATATGTAATACTGATTTATTTCTTAATATGTTATATATAGTTTTTCTTGTTATTGTGCATTTCGAGCTTGTCCGTAATAAACCAATATCTTTTCTCCTTCTCAGACTGGACGTTGATGAAGACCTCAAAGTCATGAAGGTTTTGTCTCCGCAGCCAAAGCCACTTCCAAAAACAATTTTGATTTTGACGGAAATTCAGTTCATGGACTCATCATAAAATGAAGAGCGTTTTTGTAATGTTCTTGTAAATCATGTGGTATTGTTTTGTTTTTTATTCTCTCTCTCTCTCTCTCTCTCGTTTTCTTTCTTTCTTTTCTTTTCTTTTTTTCTTTGATATTGCAGTTATTTATACTGCGTAATTTTTGTACACAGAGGATTCCTGCTGATTTTAGGTGTAATTGATAAATATTTATTAAATAAGTATTTTACAAGTTTCATTTTGTTTTATTTGTGATCCTTTTTACACTTAAAATTTTCAGGGGAAGTCTTTTTTGCAACATCAATTGACCCCATTTTTTTAGGTTTCTCTTTACAGCAATGGCATACATAGGGCCAAACTCTCTTAATCCTAAGCTACAGGTGACTACCTTACACACCATTATGATTTCAATAGCAGCAAGTGCATTGAAGTCACCATGGGATGTATGGTTACATAGCATCAAGGGCGGAAGTGTCGAGAATTCTGAAATTCAAAAT